ATACACAGAGCCGAATCAGAAGTAGGAAAACATATAGTACAGGAAGCAAATGATGGAAACTGGGAAAAAGTGAGTGAGGCGTTCAGTGTGCACGTTTTTTGTGAAGGAGTCAAGGCCGAGCCTCACGGAGCAGCAGTCCGGGGGTAATGGAAGCAGCTTCCTGCTTAAATTAGAGAGAGGGGGAGAGAGAGAGAGAGAGAGAGCATCATGGAAAGTTTGTGGTTTCCTCAGATGAGTCTCTTCCTGGTGGCCATGGATCAAAGTGGTGAGGGCGTGGAGAGTCGCTGCGACTTGTTTTTCTGAGAGGTGATTACTGCGTCTGAGCCACACCCATCGCACTCACAGCACAGTGACATCACTCAGCGACATTTGCATTTAGTCAGTTGTTTCCCATTCTGGTTTGTTCTGTGTGTTCTTATGTTGATGATAAGCACAGAAACAGACTCTGTACTCAGCCCTGAATAAACAAATGTTCCAGTGAACTCACGATAATGTGATAATAGTTTATTTATTACTTTAAGTGGGTGAAAACTTACAAGTTGCTTAATATTTGTAGTTTTTGATAAATGTGAAATAATTATTCCTCCTGGGACTTCATACTCATAATTTATTTTTTTGCAGCATAAAGTACGCTTTACTGTCGTCATTACTCAGAACAGCAAGATGTATTTCTTTCTTTATTCTTCTATATCTACATGAAGTAATTCCACAATCGATCCTTGACCTCAGTGATAATCGATTCCACTGTTGGCTTCAGTGGGTGTTTCTGCGGTGGACTCTTCAAACTCTTCAGAAGCAGCAAAGTTTTCTTGGTCTTCCGCAGCTTATGTTGGTGTGATCCTTGAAATCGAGGGTTTGGTTTGGTGGCTATGTCAGGGGAGTTTGGAAAGCAGTTTGTTTTGTTTAGATGGAAACTGCTCAGATACTTAAGTTAATGCAGTTTTTACCTGTACAACTAAAAGTTTAGGTTCAACCAGGATTCATGTTTTCAAACGAACATGTTTAAGTTGGAAAGTGAGAATTCCCAGTTCTTCTACTGTACAAAATTAAATTTCACTGACACTGACACTGTGCTCAGATGATAAGCAGGATCCTGCCCAAAGAGACCGATAATAATCTGTGAACGTTGAGAGAAGGTTTCTCAGATCTGTGTGTGTGTGTGTGTGCACTGGGAAACATCAGCTGCGTTGTTTTGTCTTGTGTCTGGATGAATACAGGCCTATGTTGGTTTGGCTTTTGTGTGACCCACAGATGTTGGTGTATTTGCTGTGTGTGTGTGTGTGTGTGTGTGTGTGTGTGTGTGTATTGCCCTCAGGATCTACATACACAACGTGTGTGTTCACCAAAAAAGAGCATGTTTGGAAAACTCTGCCCACAAGCAGCCAAGGTCTCTCTTCATTCCCGACCTGACATTCTTTCCTCTGCTGTATTTCACGTGTGGTTTGGAGATAAAAGCCTCCATTCATTAGTCTAACTGAGGGCCCGACATAACGACAGGATACCCCACCCTTGTCTGGCAACAACCAGGGCCATATTTTACCCAGCGCTGGTGGCCCTCGCATGACAGACAACCAGGAGAACAGGACATTTTCTGCAGCGTGTGGGTGTTTGTCAGGTCCACAATATTATTGTACTTTCAGTTTATCAAAAGGAGCAGGAAGGTTGGGGGTTTTCCAGGTTTAATTAGCCTGGCTCATTCTGTTGTTTCACCTTCTTTCTCTTTTATATATGGGACTTTTATCTCCCCTGCAGAGCTGCCGAAACTCAACCACACCCCCCCACACCCCCACACACTGTCGGTAATGAGCCATTTGTCTTTCTACAGTTGTGTGCGTGCGTGTGTGGTACAGATGTGCGCTCTCGTACTTGCATGCAAATATCCTGCTTGCTCTGCTGCTGAACAACCAGGAGAAACTCCATGCAGGAGTCAAATGTTTAGTTCCACTGTTTTTGAATCATCCGGTGTCACCTGTTAAAGTTGCACGTCTCTAAATTCAAGAATCAAACGTGAAACACATGTTGACTTAAAGGAGCGGCTGTAAGAAAGGTTTTGTTTCCAGGTTTTAGAGTGGAATAAAGTTTTTGACAACTTCACTTAAACTACTCAAACTTAATTCCAGGTATTGCGCATCGTTTCCCATAGACTGTTTATAATTTTGGACGGCATGACAGCTCCCCAACAGTGAAGCCAAATCATTTTGCTGTCCCCCTGGTGGATGGGTGGAGTATAGTAATAACTTGACCTCTGCCATGTTTAAGGATGGGTCTTGTACCAAACTAAAAAGTAAAAGTACATATCAAATAAATGTTTCTCAAATCAAATAAATGGGATTTGGATCATTCTTATCACACTAATGATTGTTCAAAGACCCCTTAAGCAAACTCCTTTAATCTTTCCCCTGTGGTTGAGAGACAGTGTCTTTCAATAAATTGTAATAATAAAATGTAAAGGAAATAACAAGTTTCTGATATTAATGCTAACAAACCAACATCTTTTATAACATGACCTGCATCTTTAAAAACTCAGATTTTACTATCACTTCACATATAGTCTCATACAAGTCTGGATATTACTCTGCACTGGGTCAGTAATACTTTGGCTGAAAGAAACATAATTCCACAGCTACAGTGTGTGCTGACGAGAACAGGAATGTGGGAGTAATGTGAAAAATCACAGCTTGCATGTGAAGCTCTCTGGCTAGAGCTAAGCAGACATGATTTGTGGAAAATGAAATTCTCAACTCTATCAAAGCAGGAACCGTGCAGCTGCGCGTTCGTTTACATCTGTGAAAAAGGAGAAACATCGAGGCCATCTGTGACTCACCGAAACTCTCCACTGTTTTATGAAATAGCAGGAAGGCGTGTGAGTTGTGAGGAGCTGGAGGTTTACACATGTGTGAACTTGCATGTGGACTGAGTGGAGCCCTCTTCCATGAGAGGAGACGTTTGTTTTTATGACCAGGAAATTTGACTAACTGACGCCAAATGTCACTATACTGTTTTACAGAATGGAAGAAAATGCCATTTAACTGTGGATCCCACAAATCTAAATAAAGGAACGTACTGTTCTAAAGAGCTGTAAATCATCGTGCATCATACGACTTCACTGAACCTGCAACCTGCCAGAAATAAACACCTATAGCAAAAATCCTGATCCTATCAGTATTTGATTCGAATTCAAAAAGGTCCACCGCACAACAACATTATAATAATGTGAGCTCATAAATGTTCCCCACAATGCCACACTGTGCGCGTTCAACCATTCCTGCAGCATTTACTGGACAAATAAACACCTTATATGTGAAGAGGTCCACACTCACACTACACAGCCTCACGTCAGTTTAATGACATGAAACACATGTGTGCACGTTTTCATTTTCTGCCCACTTTTCTACACCTTCAGGTCAGTGATTGAGCCCATCAGTGTGATGCCGGTCTGTTTGATTGCATCATGATTGGAGCACTCAGCGGGTCATCACGACTGTGTCTGCACAAACGGAGGCACAGCAGTCTGTACTTTTCCACTGATTTTAACGAGCACGCAGCGGCTGACCCCTGAAAAGGAACCTGGCACCGTGTTGCCTCCTCTGTGTTCAACAAGGTCACATAATGAGCTTTTTTTTCTCTAGATTGAGACTCTTACCGTTTCACATGTGAATCAACAAGTACGGAAAGGCTCACACACACACAATGAAAGAACGAGGGCAAGAATAAAGAAGTCCCTTCCAGATTCAGCCTCATACACACACACACAAACACACATCATGGCCTGACCTGAGAATAAGCAGTGATTAAATCATGACTTTGATCATTAAGTACCATTAAACAATCGTATAATCTGCCAGAACAAAATGCTGTTTACAAGTTTAAGTCTCAAATTGAGATCTTGTCTTGACGAAATAAATGAGGCATAAAACTTTGAAAGAAATTAAAATGATGGAAATATTTTAAAATTCTAACTTGAAAAAAAGAGAGAGGTAAAGTTATGGATCTAAAAACTGATAATGATCAAACGACCAGTGTTCCTGGTTCAGTCACATGGCTGTCGGAGAATGTAAACAAGGACACAGGCATGCAGCTTTGGCGTCATGAGATCCAACGAAATCGACAACATTCACTTTTTCATGAACTGGAGTGATTAAATGTGCCTTCAGAAGAAAAACAAACATGAAGGAGGACCAAAGCTGATATTTATAATTTGAGATTGGGTTAGGCTAGCATTAAGATTATTTTGTAAACCCCTCAAAATTGCATTAAACACGCTCATACATGTCTCGGTTTTCTGCCCACTTCACCACACCTTTAAGGGAGTGATGCTGATCTGATTGCTACATACTTTTCCACTGATGTTTATGTGTCACTTTTTTTTGGGGGGGGGCAGTTACATCATCCATGTTGTTTACATTTCTGTTTGTCATTTTCCAATCAATCAATTTTTATTTGCATAGCTCATATTCACAAATCACAATTTGTCTCAAAGGTGTTCCTCAACCAGAGGGAGGAAAAACGACCGAAAACGTTATGTTTGTTTTGTTTGTTGTCATTTCTTATCATGGACCATGTATCATATATGTCTGAGCTGTCAATCATGACGTTTAACCTCTTTTTTATAGCATCAAATAACTAAAGGCCAAAGCAACGCATGCATGAATGTAGCAGTGGTGCACATTCACCTCCCGTTCTCTTCCAATGTGTGCAAGAGACGGGGCAAGTAGGGAAAAAACACACACAAATAAAAACGGTGCTCGTATTTCCCGACAGGACCGTGAAGGCAGCAGCGCGAGGGCTTCACGCTGCCGCGTGCGCGCGCCTCTGTTTATTTTCAGAGCGCTGACGTCAGCGCCGCACTCCTCCCATATGGGGCTCGTCAGACGGCGGCGCGGCCTCTGATTGGTCGGCCGCTGTTGCTGTAGCAGCTGGTGTCGTCACCGAGCGGAGGAGGGGCGAGTAGGGGGAGGGGGGGCCCCCCCGCTATAAAAGCCCGCTCCCTGGCTGCGGGAGCGTCACTGTGGAGGAGGACAGAGTCACAGGGAGGGTCCGTCAGCGGCTACACGGGACACCCGCCCCCGAACTAACCCCTGTATTTACCAACAACAGCAGGCGTCTGTGTCCCAGCACTGAACCGACTCACCGGACTGAAAACCTGCCTCTACCTCGGCTCCGTACATGCCCAGAGACACGGCCCGGCAGCCAAGCCAAGGAAGTGGAGACAACAGACGGAAGCGCGCGTGAGAAAAAAAGCGTAAAAAAAAAACCCAAAATAAACAAACCGACTTAAGCGCACGGATCAGTGGCCGTTGCCTTTCTCAATGCATACCCTTTGTGCCCGGGGAACCATGAAACCAGAGATCAACGCCGCCGTCGTATTTCTGTCGAGATTTCTGCGGGTAAAAGGACACGTAAACGATCGACAGGTCCAGACGTTCAACCAAAGCTTACAGGACATCCTGTCAGGTAAGAAACCAGCGCACAGCCGCCGATCGATCCAGCCACAGTTCTGAGTCAGTGTCGGGGGGGGGGGGGGNTTCATTTTATTTTATTTTTTTACGAAAGAAAAGCTGCGTAAAATGTGTTGAGGAATGAGGCAGCAGGCGCGTTTCTTTGTTCTCCTCGCTCATCCTGCTGCCACCGCGCAACGCTGTTTGCGCAGGAGAGGAGGAGGGGGGGGGGGCACAACGTAAACACACATGACGAGCTCAGACGATCAGTCGACGATTAAAAGATGAAAATCTGATATTTTGGAGAAACAAAGACGTTCGGTGGAAGGTTGGTGTGTGCGTCTGTTGGTGGGGGGAGGAGAAGGAGGATGCGGGTGGATTAGAGAACAAGGAAGTGCTCCTCGGTCGAGAGAGAGAGAGAGAGAGAGCAGCAAAACAGCCTCCAGTGAGTTAGCTGCTCAATTACGTAATGCGTTAGAGGTCCGTAATGAACACGTCAGATTCATTAATTAATATCAACACGATCGATTTAACATTTAACTCTTCTTTCATACACAATCATTTACAACCCAGTGGATTTATGACAGTTGATGTTCCACATCTTTCAATTAAACACAACAACATCAAATCCGATTTCTCCAATAAAAATCCCCTTCATGTAGTTCACACCCACAGGTTTATTATCTCTTACTGTGTTGTTGCTGTAAACACATCCCGGTCTGGAGGAGCCGTGAAGCTGCCATACCTCCGTGTGAATCCAGCTCCTGCAGCAGATGACCTACATTTCTTACATAAAGGGCCCGTTTGTTGTTGTTGCTTGGATGTTTTCTGTTAAATGTCATTTAATATAAGTAAACACGCAAAACTAGAATCAAGAATGGTGTCTAGTATAGAAGGCCTTGGGGTGACATATAGACATTTATCCGAAATAGCCTTTTCTTTTCTTCAGAGGCCGAAAGAACAAAGAGTGATACAAGAACCCCCAACCTCTCCTTATGGAGGAGTTGGAAGCTTCATTGAAAAACACTGATTACCTGTGTGCAAGGATTCCTGGTTGTGCTTTTAATTGAGAACCAACCTGGATGTAGAATATCTGCAGAGCGACTGGTGTTTGTAAACAGACAAAAGTTGGGATATGAATGGAGTTGGCTGGGAGGCCTGTATGTGGGGGAGGGGATGTTTTGGTGGGCGCCTATAGGAGGACATTAAAGACGGAGGCAGCACGGCTGAGGAGGAAATGAAAGGGAATTCCACAGACACAGGCTTTATCTGCTCCACATTTACTGGATGTAAACTATGATTAAATCAATATTATTCAAATTACAAGGTTTTTGTCATCTTTCAGGTTTTAAGGAACCGTCTTCTTTTATTGAAAAGATTAAAAAAAATAAGAATAATTTAACAAATTAATGTTTTTCTGTCAATTTTGTGCTCAAGAATGCATAAAAGCAGAAGTGAGGGTTGTACCCGTGGGGTTTGTTGTTGCTTAACTAGGCCAGGGCCTCTTTGTGCTTGGAAACATCACAATCACCCACTATTGTGTCTGTGTGTTGAAAAGCTTTGGTGCCTCGCTCCTCGTGTTTGTGCTGAGCGAAGGGGAGGTTTTGAAATTAGTCCCTGTGACTGGATTGAAACCAGCGATTGTTGCGTAACTATAGTTAAGTGCGATTTGCTGCGTTATCTGAGCCTCGGTCATAACCAGCTCCCGTCAGTATATTTCTAGTGTTCGAGGCCAGTCAAGATAAACAAAAACCCCTCTTTAGGTTAAGCACACCCTCTGCTTACTTTTCCATTTCCCATATCCGCCCCCTCCTCCCTTGTGCCCTCGTTTTTAAGAATAGGCCCCGCTGAGCTGATCCCTCCCCAGCTGCTCCAGGGTTTGTAGGTAGCTGCCTTTGTGGCTCGGTCGGAGGCAGAAAGATCATCCAGGCCCTGTGCTCTTCGGCAGTATAGAGCCGTCTGTGATAAGACACGGGAGGAGGGGCATCAATGGGTATTATCCCACAGATGCATACAGGTGGCCTCTGGGTCCGAGCTCCTGCTTCATTCACCCCTGTTTTTCACAATGCAGTTACCACAAAGAGAAATTCAGCCTTCCTGGACTGGAAAGTGTTATTTACTTCCTCTTAGACAGTCAACACTAAAATTTTCCTCATCATCTTAACCACGGAAATGCCTGAAGCGCACTGTGAGTGGCGTCACTGTGAGTGGCGTCACTGTGAGCACTGGTTTCACCGCTCCTCCAAAACTTCCACACAATGGGTTGGGGGTGGGGAAACCAGATCTGGTCCCTTTAAGAGGCGGAGCTGTGTGTCTCAGATGGCTGGCCAGGACTTCGACACTTGTGGTGTTTTTGTTCAGGCGGTCATGGGAGACTTTTTCTGACGACAGGCTCAGGGCTGGGATTGAGTAATCCAGCAGGCCGCTCTTTTTGTCACGTAGGCCCTGTGAGCCGCTGGCCGCCTGTTTATGGCTCCTTATCAGGCCTGTAACGGGTGGTGGTGTTTTTCCTTTCTTCTGTTACTGCACACAACGACGCCCTGTCCTGAAGTGTAAATAAGTACACCCAGGTCAATAATGAACTATAGGGTACGTCAGCCTTTTGTCAAAGATAAACAGAGACATAAAGAGTATGTATACATAGTAATTGAAATTAATTAGTTAGACAAAAAAGGCCTCCTGGCATTAATATCTTTTTTTTTTTATATTTGGAAACCACCTAAAAGTACAAGCAGTCAATCAGGCGGTGATAGTTTGTTTGAGATTTATCTGAATGACAATTGTTCAATAAATTGGTGTCTGTCCCTCACATTCAAATAAATTGATGATGTTCCTATTTTGGGTAAATTCTTTTCCTGCCACAACGTGTTTATTGCATCACATTATTTCATATATCAGAGTTATCTGAATACAAAGTACTGTCTGTCTATTCTGTTGTGACCTTTAGTCAGAGCATATCTACTGCACAGCCACAGCTGACACACACTGCACTTAGTAATGACTTTCTCTTTAACTCTTTTGTTGTTGCATATTCCATGATCCTGCCAAAGCTAAACTTTCTCTCTCTCTCCCTTTTCTCTCTTGTCCCTTTTCCCTGCAGAGCAATACAAGCACCACTGGTTCCCAGACAGGCCATGCAAGGGTTCAGGTTACCGCTGCATCCGCATCAACCACAAGATGGATCCCTTGGTGTGGCAGGCGGGCCAGCGCATCGGCCTGACCATCCAGCAACTCTACCTGCTGCTGCCCACTGAGCTCACGCTCTGGGTGGACCCCTTCGAGGTGTCCTACCGCATCGGCGAGGATGGCTCCATCTGCGTCCTGTACGAGTCGCAGCCCGGCCCCATAGGAATGCCTGTGAGCGCCGCCGCCAGCTCCCCCTCAGGAAACAACGCGTCGGTGAGCCCCATGGTGGACAGTCACATCAGCTGCAAGGAGGAACTGATGGTGCTGGGCAGAACCAGTCCCCCCAAAGCCTACAATATGATGACTGTGTCCAGTTAAAGAGGCGCATTGTCACCCAGGCCTACTTTTCTTCAGGGTCACGCCATGCCTGGTCAGATCACTCGGCCAGATCAGGGTGAGCCTTTTTAAAGCTAAAAAATATGAAATGAAATAGTGAAAGAAGAGAAAAGAAAAAGAAAAAAAACAGAGGATGTGGCCTATCGTCCAGGTGATGGAAACCTTGTAGGTTTGATATTTTTTACCCTCTCTCCCCCATTGTCATCTGTTCTGTTGTGTCATTGGATCAGCTGGGCGCTCCGTTTTTTCAGGAGAGGCTTTGTGGAAATGGAACTGTTGGGGCAGCTAAAATCAACCATCCAAAACAGGAACCCCACGGAGACTGGCACCTCCCCCTCCCCTCGACTGTAAACAACACGGTGATCGGCTCCGTCTCTGAAGGGGCTGTCATTGACTTTGCACTTTTCTTACTTGTGGTTACTATGGGTACATGTTCAACACACCACTGCAAAACACCAAAACCTAAATTGAAGGAGTTTTTACTTGGACCGACCCCTCAAATTTCAAAATCCAGAGGTTTTTCAATTAGTTTTTCATTTGTTTGGAGGAGGTGGAGGTTCAGGCTGCATCTTCTCACTTTCCAAGCTCAAGGTAAAGAAACGCCCAAATAAGAGCATCTCTATTTTCTACAAAAAAAAAACCTTTGGACCACAGGGAGTTTGTTTTCTTTATCTTGTAGCTAGGAAAAGACTCAGTCTTTACTCCTCCTCCTCCAGCCATCGTCACCAAGCTCCAGAAAACCTTCATCTCAACCTTTTTTTCTGCCTGTATGTAAGTGCAAGTGGAATGTGTTGGGACACCTGTTACCTATGGATACCAGGGTGGCCTGTTGCACTGTCGCCCTCCCATCGACCCCCCGTGTATGTGTAGCTTTCTGGCGGGTGAGGGCCAAGGGGCCACAGTCTCCTCCCCCCCACATTAAATGAATGTTGTTGAAATTCACAATCAGGTTCCTGTGTTGTATTAAATAAATTTGCCCCCATTTCTCCCCCACCCACATTGTCATCTCCTGCATCACCAAAATTCAAAGTGTAGCAAACGAAGGGGGCGCTGTTTTTAACCCAAATTTCGGTCACGTGGCCCAGTTAGAATTTGACCTTGAATGCACTTTGACGTGAGATTGTGTGGGATGTGTACTTTTTAAAGAGAAAATCGCCTGCATTCCATCCATTCGAATGTCATGTTTTCACGCCGCTTTTATCACCCTCTTCATTTTTAGCCGTTTGTTCATACTGTAGCTCCCATGTTCGGGATAGACTTGACGTCTATTAATTCGGGAGTGTGCAACTCTGGATTTCAAAAACCTGTTTTTTTTAACACTGTATTTGTGTACATTTCAGAGCTGTTGATTTTTTGGTGGTATGTTAGAAACATTCTCTCATCCGTTCATATGGCACTGTTTGCTCTGGCAGGATGCAGAGCTAAGCTGCCCCCCCCTCCTCTCGAACACACACAGATGGTGATTTGTGTTAGTCTGAAAGGTCTGGACTAAGTGATGACTGTGTGAGACTTTGGCCAAAGGGAGGTCTGTAGCACCGACTTTTCAGAGATTAATTTTGACTTGAATTAAAAACACCGGGCCTTGTCAGCCTTCTATTTTAATTAGCGTTAGGTATTTCCGAGGTCTTTATAAAAGGGAGAGACTTCCTTTTGTGTGCATCGGAGGTGCATTGCCTTACGGAGACCTCATTGTCATGAATTGTGAGCCATTTGTTATTTTAAACTACAATATCAGGCCTATGTGAGCCAGCCTGGTGCGTTGCGCTGCCCGGACCCTCTCACTGGAGGCGTCCACTTTCCATTTTGGCAGCTTCCAATTCATGCCCCCCTCACCTCTCCTGGTGTCGGGGGAGTTAGAGTGCCTCAAGTGCCACATATCACCCCTCAGCTCAGACCTCCTGTTCAGGCAAAAGCAAACCAGCATGCTGCTAGCTGACCCCCTGTGGACGCAGGTAGACTTAATGTGACACATATCATCATCCATTACTGTGGGGAGTTGGGTAAGGAGGGCAGGGCCGGGGAGCTGGTGTGATAGAGGGGGGCCCAGGGCCGGACACTCTTTGTCCAGGGCAGCTAAAATCCCTCCAGCCCCCTCTCTGGACTTTATTGAACATCCAGCATCCCCCACCCTGACCAGAAGCCCTCGACCCTCCCCTCAACAGTGATGGATAAAAACCAGCATACGCTGCACTAGGGGGGCTAGTGAGTGACGAGGAAACGAGGATCATAGATGAAGAATTGAGGGTGCCAGGCCGTTGTTTTCTGTTTTCATCTCAGCGGATTGTGCTGCACTTGATTACTGAGTTTGAGTAGCAACTGTTTACACACATATGTAAGGATGTGATGGCTGACTGATGTACCCCGACTTTGCTCCCGTTTCTGAGGAGGAGTGGTTCTAACAGCGGGCCCGAACAGCTGCGGGGGTGGCTACCGGTGCCGCTCGGCCCGTAGCCACCAGCCAAATCTGTCACGGCACGCTGGTTCACCGCTCATCGTCAGACCTCTGGGTGTTTAAGCTCCCCTAAGTCGAGAGGATCATGGGTAATAGAGCTATAGCCTTTGACGCACTGCAACCCCCTAACCCCCCCTGCTCTCTGCTGATACTCCCTTCAGCAATCTGTGAAAAGCAGTGGTTCCATGTTGGCCAGATGGAGAGGGGTTCGCTGGGAAAGGAGCCCAGAGCTTTGGTTTCCGTGGTGAACACCAGTTTTAAAATCGCACCGCTCCATCACAGCATTTTTATGTCATGTGACAAGATGTTTTTGAGATTGGTCTATATTTCGGACACGGGATGATCATCTCGTCTCACTTCTCTCTAGATGTATTTTGTGGTCCCACTGGTAGATTTTTGTCATCTTTCCACTCTGCCATCCCCATTCCTCCTCTTTATCCTCTTTTAAGAGGATTTTTAGTCTGGTGATCTAACCTACTTTTAACCGAATTTGTCTTTAGTGCAGAACATTTTTTCACAAAGTTAAACCCAAATCCCCTTCGACACCTTCTCAGCTGTACTACCATCATCCAAAAGGGTTTTAAGTGCTCAGTAATATTATTTTAATGGCACCCGTTCAGCTTGTGCGCACATAGGTTACAGAATCGTCGTGAGAGTGCTTTGAGTAGTCAGAGGTAAAATAGCACATAAAATGCACTAAATATGTCAAGTCGAAGTTCTGTGACATTTTTTTTGAGACACGAGAAGTCTCTCCTGGAATGTATTGCCAAACTCAGGCCTCGGACATTCAATAAATACCCTTATGGAAAAGTTGTGCATGTTAAGACATGAAGCAGGAAGGGAACAGCAGTTTTGTTGTTGTTGTTGTTGTCAATATCGTCATCGATTAGTTGAATTATTGCCACTTTCACATTTAAGGTGTTTTACATATTGTAGAATGTATTGTAACTGTACAACAAATGGTAGAGTACATAACATTACACATTGGAAGTGCCAATAATTGCTATCCTGAAGTGTTTTTAGGTGTTTTCCTTTTTTGTATTTCATCTTTTAACATGGATGACGCTTTTCGTAAGTAAAGCCATTTGTGATGGGAGTGTTGGCAAGGACCAAAGTTGTTTTGGTAAAAAAATATTAGTTTCCATGATCTGTAAGTGTAGACGTATCCTTTGTTTTTTAGTTTTTTCTTGATTTTTTTTTTTCCTTTTCAGTTTTTTCCTCTTTTTTTTTCTATTTACGTACAAAACCAGAAAATAGACAAAAAAATCTGAGCTTACCCAAGAAGAAAAGCTGTCTATCTTGTGATCTCATGTCAGTACATCTTTATCGTGTTCAGTTTTCTTTTCCTTGGGTATGTTGTGATGAACTGCTGTAAATTTGTACAGTTCATGTAAATTGATTGTGCGGAAGTTGTACAGATTTCTATATTTTGGAAGAAAAAGTTTTTTTTTCTCTGTAATAAAAGATTTCCTATCTTGGCATCATATTCCCTTTGAGCTGTGTGATTTTTTTTTTTACCCAGAAAACTTAAAAATCAAAGTTGAAAGAATGTTTCTATTGTTCACTCAAAGGAGGATCTGAGAGTAAATCTTGTATATTTAGATCTGCACAAACCATAACGCAGATGGTATGACCCAGATTGGAATTTGACCTCCCAGTCTCTGAGCCGTCTGAGCAACGAGCGCTGGAGAGGAGATCAAGTCAACAATTCTCCTGCCTCTAAACATTTGTTCCTCTCTTCGGACACTGAACTACACTGAGGGTGAAGCGATTTCTAGGTCACACACACTAAAAGCACATAATCCTTCCACACTAGCTCACTGCTAAATTTGATTACAAATGAATGGTGATGAAATGCCGTCACATTTTATATTTAAAAAATGCAAACATCTCACAAATTTGATCTTTGCACTTCACATCCTTACGCACACAATGTTTTTTTGCAGACACTTATATTATAAATCTGTGAGTTCCATTTCCCATCCAACTGGATCCACCAGCGCTTCCACCTATGAAATGATAGGATGTGACAGATGGCACAGTTGGCGAGGATTTTCAGAAACTTGGAGAAAAAAAGTGCTAACTCGGCCAGGGCACTGAAATGTACGATACTGCAGAGCCCGAACCAGCTGACTCTGCAGAACCCATTCTGGATCTCCCAGGTTGCTTAGCAGCAGGAGGCAAAAGAAAAACATTTGGCTCATTTTGACAAAGGAGGGAGCGAGGAGAGCTGGCTTAACGGGAGCCGAGGGCACCGAGAGGGAAGGTGACTGGGCTTGTGTTGAGCTTTACCTCTCCAAACACTGGCTAGCACGAGGCCTCGCCAGCTGGGGTGCGTGGGTATTGTAGTTTTAAATGACTGGAGGCCGTCAGCGTGGCACAGCGTGTGAGATTTCAGTCACCTTTAAAGCCTGTCTCATTAAAGGCCACTGGCAGTTTCCTTTTGTGCTGCACACTGCAAAACCTTTCTGTTCAATCTAAATGGCACGGTGTGGTTTGTTTTGATTGAAAATATGATCTCTGGGGAGGAAGTGAATTGAAGAAAAACACAAGTGCTCCAGATATAACACGGTTTTGCAATCCTTGTTCAGGGTTTTGCAATGATTCATTTGAGCAAGATGTTTCGACACGTTTTCATTGCAGAGGTTGTGTTCAAACATTTCACTTTGACTTTAAAAGCTGTTGGAAACACAAGGACAGTCTTTTCACAGATTTGTCAAATTTTAAATCAGCTTCAGGCCGAAATCATAAAAAAATACATTTCACATCATATAATGTGCATAAAGAGATATATCACTACTTTATTACAACACTGAATCTATCACCCTTCAGTCATGTTCAAATTTTATTGCAACATATGTCAGAATATCAAATTGTCGTCTCAGAATTACACCAGAGCTCTGATGAAACAGCGGTGTAATATTTTCCTGCTCATGTAGCAGCAGAGGTCACCCTGAGAAGCTTGGACGAGGCAGAAGGTTCCAGAGGGTGTGGCTGATTAAAGATAAGGAGAATACTTAGCCAGGTTATTTTAGAGAGCAGCTAAGAGGTCCGGTCCGGTCAGTGTGATACTGAGCTCAAGATTTCTGTTTGTTGGTTTGTTTATGAGCGAGATTACACAAAGACAACTCGACGGATTTCCACGAAACTTGGTGGAAGGATTCAATTTTTTTAACTGTTGATGAGGTATAAGTTCTCCTAAGTTCCATTCTAGTTTGTTGTTTTATTTAGACAAAGCACAGACATGTCAGTGTACTCTGTGCTCCGTCCTGCAGCAGACGCCTGTCCTCAGAGTCTGAGCCAACATTCATACGTTGTGTACAAGCAATATGTTGCTGCCGGAGAACAAAGGCCTGGTGAGTGACAGTATGAGCTTGTGTGTCTGCTAACGGGGGGGAGGCCGACATCTGGGACCCGCTTCATTACCAGTAAGATGACAGGGTAGCTCCCCTGCAGTGTGTGAGTGTGTGTGTGTGTGTGTTGATGTTTGTCTGTTTAAAAGACAAAAGCTACGCTGCAGCTGCATAAGTCGTGCAGCATTTTTGCAGGTGCAGGGGTAGAGAGTGTTGCCAGGCGTCCCCTGCACAAAGAAAACTGGTTTCATTTTATTTTTTCTATTTAATCAAGAGATATCACCTTTTGTGAAAACAGAAAAAAATAGAACGTCACTCAGTAGATCCTCCACAAGGACCCAAAGGTTCCCTAATGAAATTACTTTTAAATTCAGTGGATGTGAAGCAAACTGCTCACATCCATTGAATATCTGTCCCGGATTTTTTCCATCAATCCGAGGCCCGTACTTCACCTTTCACCAAGTTTCAGTCAAATCGGTTCTGTTGATTTTGTTTAATCCTGCAAACAGACGAACAGCAGGAAAAACATAAAAATCAACAGGAACGTTCACTGTCTCCTTCACAAAGCTCTTATCAAATGTGTCCATGTCCAAATATTTGATGATCTGTGTAAAACCACAGCTGTGCAGCGGACGTGTTTTTTCAATTGGCCTTTCCAGGTTATTAGCCTCCCTGTGTGTGTGTGTGTGTGTGTGTGTGTGTGCGTCATTCACAAGCCAAGGACAAGCTGATTCCTCTTTGAAACAGATCCCTGCCTTGCCCATGTGGGTCTTCCCCCGGGTACAGAGACAACACCAGCTATCTCTCCACTTCCCCTCAGGGCACTATTCATCCTCTGAGCTGACATCTGCTTTGTCTCCATTGCACACACCCTTCCCACCAGCATCCAAACAGGGACAATGAATGAAAACAGAGGACTGTGGGGACAAAGACTTCCAGCGTGGGGCCCGCCACGTCACTAACACTGACTGAGGGAGGGGTCTCTAGGGAAGAGGTTAGGATACAGTTGGAAGACATTATCCTAATGAATACTGTGCTTTTGCATTGATAACAAATTGTTGTGGTGAGTGTGTGTATATGGCCATATGAATACATGTCCTAGAGTGCATGTGTGTCTTTACGTTTCCTGTGATTGAGTTTCCCTAAAGTAATCAAGAGCTCAAAATTAAACAGACTAATCACAAATACTGGTGACACACAGCAAATGTAAGTTAGGTTTAAAAATATAATACAAAAATAACACAACTGACTTTTACCTTTATCATTATCTCACTTTTACAATGATAAAAGCAACGTACAAAAAACTCTATAAGAAACACATTAAAAGTGTATAACTAAATACTTTTACTGTATAGTTTTGTAAATGATTGTATGCTTGGAATATAACTCTGAAGTGTTTGAACGTCCGATGATGCCTGGAATGAAACCTGCATGTTGTGTTGCAGCTGCTTGAATCGTGCAGTTATTCATCATGCATGCATGAAAATATGCAAATATGGAACATAATGTTTGCCTCACGGCAGCGTCGGCTCATGGTCGGTGAGAAATGCGTCACCGTCTTCCTACAGGCTCTATCTACGATCAGGTCTTTTTGAACTGTGAGAAAGCTGCAAAGTCAGAGCGTGTGATTTCTCGCTTTCAGCCGCCCTCGACTTCTTCATACCTTCTCTGCTTTCATTAGGCAAAAATAACCAAATGTCATTACTCAACCTCTCTCCCTCTCTCTCTGGTGTTTTTCTGGGGGAAAGAGAGAGGACATAACCTCTCGTTCCCCCCCCCCACCACCTCGCCCTCTGTCTATCTTTATCCCTCCTTCTCCAGACCGCCGGTGTCACCAGTCAGCTCACACTCACAGCAGAGGAATTCATTCCAGGGTCTGGCATCAGGCCTTATTGGGGTAAGGTGAAGGGTCTCAGAGGGAATCATGTGATCGAGTGTGTGTCTGGCAGCTCGGAGATCTTGTGTTTTCAGAGCTTATGTGTGTGTGACTGAGGAAGAAGAGAGTTTTTGTTGAATGTTTGATTAAAAAATGGCGTAAGTGCATAAAGATTTACTAATAAAAGCTGTAACAGCTGTCAAGGACCATTTCAGCATGACTCTGTTGTTATGCAGCATTTTTAACAGTTGAATTTTGGATTATAAGTTAGTTTATGATGAATTCTGCAGCTGTCACTTCAACAACAAACCATTTTGAACTCCTGATAACAACGGGCAGCTGAGGTTCATGGGATTATTCATACTTTAATAAAATTATAATTGTGTGAAAACCCAGGATTTCTCTGAGCCACAGTTGAAATAACTAAAAATAACTTTAATAACGTAGCTGAGCACTAATTGTTCTCTGTTTTGATTGTCGGGCCTCAGAACGAGCTGTAGACAGAAACTCTTTATCACCTCATACAGGCTCTGCGGCGGCCATATTGGAAAACAGTTGACTTTTTGCACATTCAGCAGACGCCTGACCTGGAGTCGTGTTTCCAAGTTTCTGACAAATGTAAATTCAACATTTCTGTGCCACTCTGTTATGGTTTCAACTCCTGAGAGAGATGTCTGGCTCTGTAGCTGCTAAATGCTTCACTGTGTTCGCTGGCACGTCGCTAACTGTGTCTGACTGCTGTCTGCTGCTGGACAGGAAGTGCACAGGGAGTTTAACAAAGGTTTTCGCTGTGGCGGGAAAGAAAATGGATGTCAAATTAAAAGACAAGAGAGCAATATCTCTTTAAAACCCAAAATTTGCAGATACACGTTGGTTTTCTGAACATGAGTCAACCCGTCAAGATACGTAATCTTGCCAACTGACAAGAGGCCAAGAAAAGAAGACTGACTAGAACTCATGGAACCTGTGGAGTCACTGAGTTCATCTCTTTCCGTTTCCTGTTTCTCTGCTGTTAAGAAAAATGCGAATTTACAGCTGGAAAATCTGGAAGCACCGGTTCTAATAATCGAAAATTAAGTGTTGGTCATGTTTCTCGAGTCTGTCCCGCATTACGTGTCTGCCGCAGCCAACAAGCCCAGCGTCCTAATGATAACCTAACAGGCCAACCACTGCTGATGTCTTCATCCCTTTGTATTCTCCCACATATGGTTATCTGAAAGTCAGCGGTGAGACATAGAGGCAGCGTATTCCTGTGGT